TCTCCGTGGCATCCTTACAATTTTACATGGAGGGGCTTTGTAAAACTGTCTAATGGATGTGCATGGAGCTGTGTGACATTACCAGTTCAGAACAGAGGATGTCCTCCAGAGCTGAGCACAGGAGCTGAGTGAGAAGGTCACAGGATCCCCTGGATGTCATCACAGGTCTGCGGGAGGCATGTGAAATATCCTGCACCACACATGACATCCCCTTGTTGCAAAGAATTATCTGGTCCAAATGCGCAAAAGCAGAGAAACCCTGGTGTAAATATTTGCTTTGAAGAGACTAGGATCCCTTAACTTTTATTAGGTTCTTGGGGAGATCCAAGATCCCATAAAGCTTAAGGATTATTAGCAAAGGGGCTGAAAACAAGACTCCAGAGTGACCCAGACCTGGTTCAGCGCTACTCACAGAACACGACTAGGAGTTTACCCAACCCTTCTCAGCCTCAATTTCTTTTAAAAATAGTGTTATCATAAGATTTCAATTATCTCACACATTGAGAGAGTTTAAGCATATTGACTACACAGCAGAAACTTATTGGGGATTTCATCAATATTTTAGTACCCTTAATCATTTCTAGAAATGTGATTTTGGAATCAAAATAGCACAATAGGAACTCATACCTATCTTTGTCACTAGAGGTTCAAGACAGGATTGCTATGAGTTTGAGGCCAGCCTGGGTTACATACTGAGTCCCATAGTGAGGCCAGCCTGTTCTACAAGCAGAGCCCTTGTCTCAAAAAAGAAAAGAGAGATAAGAAAAGCTGGCCATGTAAAGGGCCTTCTTAAATCAATTAATGTAACTGATGCTCTGTCTTTACATCATTATATAGTAGGAAGTAATATTTATATCACAAGGTCATTGGAAGAAATGATTAGACAAAGTCACACAAAATGCTTCTACAGATATTCTGCAAAAGGAGTTGTAACACTCATGCATCTGGTCTCCAAGACCTTGATCCCTCCTTTTATGATAAGTGGTTAGGACTGATGACTTTCTAAGCCATCCCAGGCACAGGCAAGAGAGAGACTTACACCTCATGTGAGTTTTTCATATCACTAAATTACCCTGAGGAAGTCACTATTTTTACTCTCATTTCCCACCCTTTCTCAACATTGTTTTGGGTGCCAAAGGTAAGGACTGGATCTTTTGCCTAGAGTTCTGCTGATAATATGATAGGAAGAAAGATTTCCTTTGTCTTTAAATCTATTTATTTATTTTTATTATTATTACTGTGAACACATATGTGTATGATGCCTGTATATGTAAGCACACATGCCATGACACACATGTGGAGGCCAGAGGATAACTTTGTGGAGTTAATTCTCTCTTTCTACTTTATATGGGTTCCAGGAACCGAACTCACACATAAGGCTTACATGATAAGAGCCTTTGCCCTCTGAGCCATCTTGCAAACCCAAGATTTATTACTTTTGAAAAGCATAAGTATGGTCCAAATTATGATGAAGTATGTATGCTAAAATTACTAAGTAGCAGCCTTGGATATTTGTATTGTATGCACTTATATAAAGTTAGGGGTTTTATTCTCATGCCCAAATATCTACCTGAACATAATATTAGTAGAAAAAATGTCATAGAAAACTAATTTCCTTGGTGAAAATTATTTCAAAGTAAAAAGATAGACATGATTTTCAGGAATGTGTTTGAGTTTGAATGTTAAGTTCTTTGTTCAAGCAACTTCATTTTAGATGGTGTCTAGTAAAGGACGTGTAATTAGAAGGCAGATTTGTCTTTTTCCTCCACTTTACTCCCATGCCTAGACATCTCCTATACTTTCCTGAGTCCATGCATTGTGGTTATGTCCCTAGATTTCAATACTGCTGTCTTCCAGCAGACACCTGTGGCATATTGTCTTCACTGGTTTTTAAGTCTTTTCATGAAGCAATATGCCATCAGGGAATGAGTTACTATTATTCACATAGCTAGGAAATGCTAGTGAATTCAAGACTTGCACTGCTCTGTTCTTTTCCAACTTTGACCTTCACCAGCTGAGCCAGTCCCCTAATATGTATGGAAGTGCCTTGTCTTAATAGGTGTTAGATAAACGATGCCTCGTCTTCTTGGAGCATTGTATTATTCATCTGTAAATGGAAGAGGTTGGACCAGATGACCTCTGAGAACCTTTCTAAGCTTGAAGCTCTGTGATGGCATTCTAAATGTTAAGACAGTGTGGTCTTCCTGGCATTACCATTAATGAAATTACCCATCATTTATCTTATGAGCAAAAAGCACACAGCAATAGCAAGAGGACAGCCACTCCGGCAAACAAGAGTGTGTGGATTTTTATTGTGACCACAACTCTCTAGTGACACATGTGATAAATGTGAATGTCTCAGAAAAAAAAAAAGATTCTAGAGGCCCTGAGGTGAGTCAACCTGACCTGTTCTTTTGTTTTGGACTTGACTATAGTAAACATATCCTACTTGCATGTGTTCTAGATGGCTGAAACCTAGAATGCAGCTGGAAATAAGTTTATGTTAATAGCTCTTGGTATAAGCTTTTATATATAATTGTTTTCTTCTCCCATCTTCCCTCTCATTAAATTCTCTCTCAAATTCCTTCAGTTTTTATTGTTCCTCTTCCTGTCATAGCAATGAGGTGTCCTCCCAGCTGACAGACCACTCCACATCTTCACACTGGCTCATTTCCTGAAACAGTGCCAGTGTCCACATCCTATTCTTCCCCTTCCTCCTCATCTTTAAAATCTGCACATCAGCTTCCAGACACATTAGGAGAATTTTAGTGACAAAATTCAGCCCAGTGCTCCTCCTCCCATCCTATGACAAATTGGAACAGATCCAGCTGTGCTTCATTTCGTGTGACTAAACCATTAAGGCTGTGTTGTTTTAGCCATCTCACCATTTCACAGAGGCTTAAACCCATGCTTTGTGTGCCTAATTCACAATTGGATAGCAGAAGAGAGATTTCTTTCTTGGTAAATTAGGGTAAAGGTTAAGTGAAGTTCCAAAGCCAGAGGGAGGAAACATTAAGTTCCCATGAGGAAGGCCTAGGAACAGTTTGTATCTAATCTTACACACCCCCTATTGATCCCATTGCCTTGCCATCACAATGCTGTTCTCAAGTGAGCATGTACTCCTTTGGGTGGCCTCTGCAATCCTGTGTTGCCAGGCTCCATCCACCAGGTGATGTGTAGGACATCTCTAAATGTTCTCTAGATCAACATCTGTCACTCTTTCACTTTCCCTGTTCCTTAGGGAACAGTTCCTCTGGCCATCTGCTCTTGTGTTAGTCTAAACCTATCAACTAGCCCATGGGTTTTCTCTCTGAGGCTCAATGACTGCCTTCCATTTTTCACTGTGTTTCTGTTTTGCTCATGTCTCCAGGAGGTTTTCTTTTTTTTTCTTCCTCTTCACTTTTGCATTACATTCTGCTCATTTGAACTTCCATCCCAGATACCTCTTACTGCAAGAATTCTTTTGCATTTAGTTAAGCACTTCCTATCTATAGCTGAGAGAAGATAGGATACCAGGGGGAGAAGGGCTGAGCTAAGCTTGAGTGAGTTTCATCTGACATGCTATAGTGACCCTAGACAAGTTATTGTTATAATTCCCTGATTCTGATTATTTTTGTGGAATATTTTATTTTTTTAATTTATTTATTAGTTCTAGTTAGGGAACAAGCTTGTTTCACATGTAAGTCCCTTCTCCCTCTTCCTCCCCTTACCCCCATCCCTCTTCCCCCCCCAGCCTACCCCTTCCCCATGTGTCCAGGGCCAGAGTGTAACCCTTCACGTGAGATGGGCTCTCAAAGTCCCTTCTTGCACCAGGGAAAAATTTTTTGTGGAATATTTTATAAAAACACAAATCTCCTTAACTTGTTGGGTCTGCGAGTGTCATAGGAGGCAGTTAATGGAAGAAGCGTCTGGAAAAATAAAGTACTAAGCATATCTACTCCTATTTCTATTAAATGTATTGACATCAGCTACAGGAAAGGATTCCTGATTGTATATGTACCTTGTGGCTTTCTGAGTGTGGAGTAGCATATGACAGTTTCCAGCCACCAGTCTATAAACACTGAGTCTTCCTAGGGAGGGGATGGGTTGTGGTCTGCCCAAGCTGTCTTCCTGAAATGCTGTTCTCCCAGTTTATCCACCACTGCTGGTGACATCACCGACAGAAGGCTTCTGGGTGAAGATGACTTCTGAACGAGTTGCCTTGAATGGTGGAGAGATACATGATGCAAACTCTCCACACATGGGGTTTCTGGTGCTTGGTGGTGAATGGTGTCACTTTCTAGGAGATGCTGGATGAAAGTGTTATTAGCCTGAACATCTCAGGAAAAAAAAACAACAAAAAACTGACAAATCCCTTTGTCAAGCTTTCCTGCTAGAGGTTTTAGGGTGAATTGGTCCTTCACCACACACATCTGTATTCTTCTGCAAACTAGCTGATGAGTAAGTTTGTGCTTGTGTTAGAGAAAATTATATGAGGAATCTGCTCTCTCTATTCAATAGGGCTAGCAATGATACCTAGGAGAGACATTGTGATGCCAAGCATGCAGCTTTTAAGCAAGCCTCTCCATGCCTGAAATGCAAACCCTCCTTGTGGGAGATAGCTACTGCCTTTGTTTCTTAACCCCTGTTCCTTGAGTCCCAATGGAGTCTTTGCCAAAGCAAATGGCAGAAGTGTGCTAGATTTATGCTTGCCAGACAGAGATTTAGATAAGAAACATCAGAAATTTCTAAATTGGAGCCTGGGACTCTAAGATTTCTAAAAATAACTCCTTTCACACAGATCACAATTGTTAGTATTTGGGACTGCTTGACGAGCTCCAGAACCTCTTGCTGCCATTGAAAAGAGATCACTCCTAAGAATTAAGGTTCACATTTCTGACTCTCTCATCTTCATACTCGAACTTTTTCTCCAAACGGCTACCTGTCATCACCATGCTTTCTTGTCTCACCTTTTTTTTTTTTTTTTTTTTTTTTTTTTTTTTTTTTTTACTCTGCCTCAGGATGGCCGTCTGAGAATGAATGACCAACTGATTGCTGTTAATGGGGAAACTCTTCTGGGCAAGTCCAACCATGAAGCCATGGAAACACTGAGGAGATCGATGTCCATGGAAGGAAACATCCGGGGCATGATCCAGCTGGTGATAATTAGGAGGCTGGAGAGACCACTGGAGGTGAGACCGTTCTTGACTTTCCTGAAAATTGCTTAAATGGCCACCAGAATATACAGATTCCATCACTCATGTGGTAGATTGACATTTATTTAGTCTGAACTTGGGGAAATATGCCCCAGATAGGCTGTGATGGATATATGGAAGGAACAAGTGGCTGTATATTTTAGATGAAAATATGCATATAAAGTAAATCATTTATCAAATATCACAGGTCTGTGTTTATTTTAGGAAATTCCTAGGGTTCTGGGCTTATTAAAAAAGCATCGTTCTTAATACAAATTTTGGTGGTATGCTAGCAATGCCCATACCTTACAAAGTTCCTGACTGGATGGATATATGCAGTGTTTAATTTGACAATTGTTATGATATAATCAAATCCCTATATTCTCCCCTATAATCAATACAGATAATACAGAACTTAGGTGTAAGTTAAAGTTGATTTGTTGAGCAATATATTTTATTTTATTGAATAAATGGAAGTCTTATTTCTTTTAAAAATTTGATTGTGTTTTTTAAATGTCAGGAAATGTCCACTTACATATGAACCTTAGATGTAAAATAATATAGTATAAAATAATATAGTACAAAAAATTCTTAAATGCTGATATACCAAAACATTTCATTTACATAAAATTATAAATAAAATTATTCTTATAACAACATTTAAAAGATTAGGTATTAAATGCTCCTAACAATTACTTCAGGAAAAAATAAGTTCATAAAAATATCAGCACATATTATATTATAATATTAGGATAATACCTAAGGCCCAAATATGTTTCTGTGCTACAACTGTATATAGAGTAAAAGTATATACTACTTGGAAAACTAATATCAAACATTGATTTTAGTAGTAAGCGCAACCAAAATTTAAAAATGAAAGATTATCGAAATGAAATATATGTCAGTGGGGCTCCTTGTGTTTTATATGGATTACTTGTGCTGAAATCCTCAATTTTCTGTTACTGGATCATGAAAATACACAGCTATTGTGAGTGCTTGATGTGTATAAGACAGGTACTGGTACCTGCTTTATCTACCGTTGGAGCTTCATTTCTCCAAATGTTACTGGCTCCCAATAAATGTTGCTAAATGAATGGAAAAGCTGCATCTGAAACCCACTTCATCTGACAGAGTGGCCTGGAGCAGTGAGATGATAGACCATCTCTTCCTTTGCTATATTATCAACTATTGGGGAAGAGTAACTGTACCTTTTATGCTCTTTTGTACATAACCTTGTAGATGTTAAATAAATGTAAATTGGCCAATTACTGGAGACTATATATAATGAATGAGCTTGTTTTCCACATGTGCATCTGCTTAAGTGACAGAGCCTTCATGAATATTTAATGGGCTTCACTTATGTACATAGTTTGAATGTCCTCATCTACTGCTTCCTAACATGAGAAAGGGGCCTGTCTGCTGTGATTTGGTCCTTCCTATAGAGTTCTGGGATGCAAGGAACACACTCATTGGAGAGTGATATGAAAGACAGTATAAAGGAGGGCTCAGTCATCCTTTCTTATATATCCAAACATTATAGCTTCCTTTAATACTTCCTTTAACAAAGATGCCACAACTAAGAAAAGAAAGGACAATGCTGATAGAGTGTCATATTCATACAGAGGCCAAAAACTAAACAAAAAGAGAAAAGAATGAGTATGGCTTTAAGAGATTTAGAGGTATCTTTACCTTTCCTCTTCCCTCATTCCATGTCTCCCTCTAAAATGCATGTGATTGGCAGTAGTGGATGTGATACCCTGGCCCATGGAGTTGGAGTACTTTGCTGTCAGCATTTGTCTCTAGTGTGGTATCTCCATCTTTATTTCCATAGTCTAGAGTGGAATGGCATTGACATTACCCCATCAGAAGAAAGTATTAACTTTCAGTTCATTACCCATCCTCAGATATGTCTTGTTAATATAGTTCACCAGAGAATGGATCAGGACCAGGAACTGTTACCAAAACCAATTTTTATGAGGACATTTAAACATAGATCCATTTTTTCCCCTAATATTTACATGCTTTCCTTGGGGAATGAGCAGGCACTTGACGCTCAGCTATAGAGAATCTTTGGGGTAGCCGTGAAGATGAAAGAATCTTACTCCTTATAAAGACAGAAACCTAATGTGCAGCTTATCTTTATTAATTTTTTTCAAAAAAATCAGCTATGTGATCTACTCAATCTGCCTCGCTACGTCATGCATATGCTGTGCATAGTGTATGCTGTGCATACTGGCTTTCTGTCTATTCTCTCACAGAGCAGTAAGTGCCCTCTGGTCCATAGAAAAGCATTCATAACCCAGAGGAGGTCTAAGCACTGCTCAGACATCAGGGCAAATCAATTAGTTAGATTTGGCAAGAATGCCAGTGTAATTGCTGGAACATTATACCAATATTGAAAAGAAATGAAGATGCTACTTAAGAAAAGTCAAAATATAAAGTTGTTATTTTTTCCCCACATTAGCCAGTTGTACGAGATAGGTAAACAGTTTTGATGAGAAGCTCAGGAAGAATACATAATGAGCCCTTGATTGAATCAGAATCGTTTTGAACAGAAGCATGTTTTTCAAAGGATGAGCTTCAGGATGAATTGTGATTCTGTCTGCGCCTAGAGACTTGGTATTTAAAAATGGGTTATGACCTGGTTTTGTTTTTCTCTTTCCCTAAACATTTTCCTCCCTGCTGCAGCTCATCTTCAGAGAGGCAGAACATGTTTAAAAATCCATTATATTTTTTATTGGCTGGGACACTAATGGAGGCCTCTACGACAGCTCTATTTTACAGGCTGGATGCTTTAATTAGGCTGGTTACTGATCAGTTGTTGGGATATTGATTGTGTCATTTATCAAAGAGCTAGGAAAGCAGAAAAATTGTTTTTGTTCTTGTTGTTATTGTGAAGTGAAAACACAAGGCAATGCAAGGCAAGTCCTACCTCTACCTGCCCATTGGGACTCCAGCTTTAAGCTGGGACTCACTTGTCTCCTGTACCTGCTTTAGTTGGACTAGCACTATGGCAGCCAAGGGCAATATGGCTAAGTGTGGGAGAACTGTTAGAAGCCTTCACAAGAAGCTAATAGCCCTCTGCAGCTGAAAACATTTTAATTATTTAGGATACAGAATAGAAGTGAATGCTTCAACTATTTTGTTTAGCTAGATACTGATTTTTTTGTAACTAAAGAGGAAAAAGTAAAATCAACTGCATTGTTTTGGCCAAATGCTTTCCTGGAGACGGGAGCTTGGGGAGTAGCTCTGTGTTTGCGACATGTGCCTTTCACAAATGGCCAAGAGAAGAGCTATGGAATGACTTCCAAATCATTCATTTCCCTGAAATCTGTTAGGGAGACAAATAGTAGGCACAGGAGCAAAAGACAGCTCGCTATGCCATCACAATCGGCTTGAAAACCTGAGTTCTCTGTTGTCGGCTGCCTCCTGTTACCTCTTCAACACCTGGGGAAGATGGTCTGTGGGGTGTTATTCTGGATACAGCAGTTTGCAGAAAAACCTGAATTTGTTTACAGACTGCCAGAATCCAAACAGGACGGAGAAATACAGAAGGAAAAAAAAAAGACTCTGGGGAGAACCACTGCCTGGCCCTGTCACAGCCATTTACGTTAGCATCTGGCCAAAGCCTGGGGTCTGCAATGGGACACAATCATGACATTCTGATGACAAAAACTGCTTGGGTTCTGACTTGTCCTAGAGCATATGCACTTATCTGGGGAGAAAGAGTGGCAGAGGGAGAGAGGAACCAGCTGGTTGGCAGAGAAACACCCTTGGCATGAACTGTATTCTCATATTGACACTGCCACAAGCTGTACTCCCAGATGGAGGAAAATTTGAAAGAAGGCAGTTGTAAGTGGGGGGAAAGAATAATAAAGTTAATCCTCTTTTGTGTTGGCTATCAACACTCATAATCCTTAACACTGCATTGTCCGTGCTATTTATTTCGTATTGAAAGATGTTTGAATGGACAAGGCCACTTTGATTTTTCACAATTGAAGATATACATGCTTGAGACTCAAAAGAGGGTTTATGCAAGGACCATTCTTGCACTCTGCTTTGATTGTCCAAGTTCGAATGTATTTTTAAAATGTAATTTCTCTGTCTGTCCCTTAGGAGCTTACAGAGTGTGGGGCACTTTCCAGACCATGTTTTGAAAACTGTCAAGAAGCTCTGAGCCCCTCCAGGCGAAATGATAGTAGTGCGTCATATCCATTTGGCACTTACAGTCCACAAGATAAAAGGAAAGGTAAAGGCTCTCCATTTCCGTCCTCTTGGAATAGAGCACAAACCCATGAAAATGGCTTTTCATTGAGAAGAGGGAGAAGGTATCAGGGACAAAGAAAAGTTAATTAGGCAAAGTGCAGACTTTGTCACTCAGAGTCATGAGAACTGAGGGCTGGGTGAGAGCTTTGACTCAGAACTTGTGAATCAGATTCCTGGCAAGGCTTCCAGTTTAAGTGACAGTTTCTGTGCTTGCTGCCCCAAACATGAGGATTTTGTATAAAACAAACCATGACTAGAGAATCAAAGATGGCAAACTGTGAGTGTTTTGAAGATCTTTTTAATCATTGAAAGTTATCAAGTCCCTTTAAAACCACATGGGTTTACATGAAGCCACAAAGTGGTCATGATGTGACTCAGGTTTTTGTGCTTGGTCTCAAGATGAGTGTGACAAATAGTGCAAAAGCACAGCTTGGGGCCATCGACGTGGCAGCTGGACCACTCTTGTCGCCTGATGACACACCCTCTTGTTACTGGAATGGATCACATTTCAAGTAGACTGCTGGATTTTCTTCATTGTTCTTTCAAGCTTTGCTCCAGGTCACCCAGAACTTGTTTTATCTCTTTCTTTCTCCTCTCTTTAATAGCTTTCACTTTTTATATTGCAAAAGCAATACATACATATTCATTGTAGAAATTTTAGAGGAAAGCATTAAAAAGAAAATTTAATATTACTCATCCCTCTATCTATCATAGCTCCTAATCAATAACATTTTATGTAGATCTTTCAAGTCTTCTCCTCATGCAAATATGTATACATAAAATGAAAGTAAAATGAAATGTACTGAAGGTAATTTCTAAGAATTTTTTTCTTCAATTGATACCACATGATGAGCATCTTATGTATCACTGGATGTTCTACAGCCTCATGTACAGTAGTGGCATGGTCTACTACTATGTGGATCTCATAAACATTACACCATCAATCCTGTGTTTTTAGACGCCTAACATGTTACCAAACTATAATGACACAGGAACAAATCCCAAACTCTGATGTTATTCTATCAGAATGGACTTGTAAATCTGAGATTGCTTGAGCATTAAACTATTTCATCTGAGTGAGATATTAGGGGTAGGGTTTCCCCTGAAATTTTTCTATTTTAAGCATTTGCAGTTTGTTAGATTTGTTGTTAAGCAATTTACATTCAAATTCAAAGTGGGTCATGTTATTAGCCTCATTTCACAGGTGAATATATAGAAGTCTTTGGAATACATAATTTACCTAAGACTATACGTATTTGACACACCCAGAGCCTGGATTCAATTCCTATCCCTGGCTTTGGTTCATCTCAGTCACAGCAAAGGCCCAGCCTTGTATTCTTCCCTAGGAACCAATGAAGTCTTTCTACCTGATCCTAAGAATACCTATGAAATGCTGGCTTTACCTTGTAGCCAAACAAAAAGAATTACTTAGATGTATTGGTTTACATTAAATAAATTTCTTGACAGATCTTGAGACTTTCAATTCCACTATCCACAAAGTAGGGAAGAAAGGGAATTTCTCTATAGAATGCAGAACATCCTTAAAACTCTATATACTTTATATCTGGATTGAAAGGAAGTGAGTCTGTTGATGACAGCAACCACAGATAATCTCTGGGAAGATCTTTGTATTTCTCTCCCTTCTAAAACATAGATGTTGATAGAACAACTTTCATACCAATAAAAAGAAAACAACAGCAACAATACCCAAACAAACAAACCAAAACCCACTCATCAGTGACCTGCCTAGTACATGCTTCATTTCCAACTTTGACTTCCCAAGTTAGTGTGAAAATCCCAGCCCCTTCAAGACCTTTCCCATATGAGCTAGAGAATTTCTGGTAATGCCCACTATGGAACAGTGTGGTGTTCTAAGATAGTAACGGAGGATAGGTTGCATCCTTCCTGTGAGCCTCTTAAGGAACTAACCATTGTTGGCTTGAAAAAAAATAAAGTCTATCTATTATTGAAATCCCTGTGTGTCTATACTATATTACCAGGTTGCCCGAATTCAACTTCTCATAGCAGGAACTCATTATATTTTCAGTTAGAGATTGGGTGATAAGCTTACTATTTGTGCAAGCCAACTAAGGTGCTACATGCCACGGATACTTGTGAACTATGATAGTGGCCTTACCACAACTGACTAGAAAGGGTCTCTTTTAGAAGAACATGGTTAACTTGACAAAATGTAACCTCTAGTGACAGAGAAGCTTGGACAGTCAAAACATTAACTTTCCTCCTTCCTCTTTGCTTTGTATGTTTAGACTCCAGTGTTGATACACTGTGTTCCATCTAGTTTGCTCAGTATTTTATTTTTTATTCTTTCCAAGCTGCTACACAGAAAATGACTTTTTAGAATAACATTTGTAAAATTGGAACACCAGAAAATTCATATTTGTGTTAGAAAGTTGTTAGCTGGGCCTCCTGTGGAGGAAGTGTGGTGCTCCAGGATAGCAGTGGTATGGAGGCTGTGTCCCCAGGGCTTTCTCTAAGCTGGTTAGGCATCTGAGTAGTCATGAGGTTTACCAAGCATGTGCTTCCATGCTGATGGATGGAGCCTCAGCACAACCCACCTCTAGTGGTGACCTTTCTTCTCTTGCCTTCCCTACCTTTATACTCTCGGCCGCATTGTCTCCACTTTTGCCTCAGGTGTCAGCTCAGGTGACCCCGCTGCCCAAATCCTTCCAGTCATCCACTGAGTTAGGTCTTTCCCCCTACCTCATATCAGACATTCTCACTTTGTGCCCTGTCCTACTATGTCCGTATTCCCTGGAGGATTTTGAAGAAGTAATAAAATCCCCCTAATGTTTATGTTTATAGAAGTCAAAGTGCATCCATCACGTTATAGCAGGAGGCACTCTGCATTGTTGATCGTAAATTGAATTCTCCTTCTCAATTTGACTAGTGTTGATTGAATACCTTTATGTTGTCAAATACCATCAGGAAAGCAGGTATGTGTACAATGCTGCATCACTATTATTGCCCTCAAGAAGAGTCTAAGGTGGGGTCATCAAGCTCTCTATACTTGGCCATTGCAGTGCAGAAACAACTAGAGCACGGGCGCAAATAAAGGAGTGTGGCTATTTTCAACAAAATTTTATTTAAAAGCCAAATATTGTGCCAATTTCAGACCAGGGCAATAGCTTTCTTATCCTATAAGGTATTTCTCATCTCTAAGATATGTCTTGATTAGATGAACTCTACAAAACAAAAAATAATATGGTAATTAAATGGGCCATTTAGCCAACAATAACTGAGTGACTAGAAGACATACTGTCAATGTTCACAGGTGAGTGTGTGTGTGTGTGTGTGTGTGTGTGTGTGTGTGTGTGTGTATTAGGAGTATATTAATAGTCAATTAAATTCAGAAGTATTATTTTTATGAGATTAGAGTTCTACACTTGCATACTTGCATACCCGATACAAAGCTTAACAAAGGTGTCATGGTCAAGAGAAGAAAAGTCCATATAGGGTCTGAGCATGTTATACACAGAGTTAACCAATGTGATATTTGCCTCTGCTCCTCCCACCACACTAAGAAAAACAGCTAGGCCCTAGATATACAATAAAAGTTAAAGTAGAGGCTGTAATGAGACTCTAAAAATCCTATAAAGAGGCTTTAGAAGAGACAAAAGAGAAGACAAGGAAGAAGTTACCTTCAGTCTAGTTAGAAAAATGTTGATGAACAGATTACAGCTTGATAACTGAATGGATAGCTGTCTTCACAAAAATAGAATGTGATAGATATGATAGAGGACATAGCTTATGCTACTAATGCACAAACCTAAACACTAATGGGTAAAGACAGACATTATGAACTGTGGTAGCTTGATTGAAGAAGAATGTTTTGTAGTGACGAAGGTCCAGACAGTGACTCATTCTAACAACTTGTCAATAGGCTTTTGGGAGACATTTAGGGAAAAGATATAATCTGCAGTTCTTCTCATCTATCCATAGTTAATTTTGTTGTTGTAGTAAAGGAAAGAATGTTTAGCATGAACAGTGTGATTAGTACAATGTCTGACTCACAGTATCTCATCAGAATTCACTTCTTACTGGTAATACTGACAATCAGGCTGCATGTTATTTTTCCACTGCTGAATAACCTGTGGAAGAAAAATGCCATGCTCTATCCAGTAGGAAACCCCAAATCCAGACTCCAGTCTTTTGCTCACAAGACCTTATAGCACAGATAGAAAGAGTGGATCTTTTCCCTCTGCTTTGTCTAAACAATGAGCAATACATAGGGACTCAAGTCATTTCCTTCAGTACTTTTTTTCACTCAAGTAAATGCTTGAATTATAATTCAGAGTATTCACTACAAAGCCAAAATTATTAAGACATTAAGGTATAAAAGACATGTTTTAGAAGTCTCCTACAAGTCAGGGACATCGTTAAGCATCAAGCTTTCACAGGTAACAAAAGGTCATTGAGAAGTGTGGATTTATTTGTCATAGTGGCCAGTGAATGGGTCACACACAGAGACACTCTAGGAGGCACAGGTCATCTCAGCCAGGCAGTATTCATGTGAGACCTTCCATTCCAGGTGAAGCTTTATTGATTTCAAAGTTGCTTTATGTGTCTGAGAGATGGACTGAAACAAAAGTAGGCACTGAATCCTTCTCCCTCTGGTTTACTACAGCTTTATTTGTTCCTTGTTTATAGACCTATTGCTTCCCAATGATGGGTGGGCCGAGAGTGAAGTATCGCCATCCCCACCACCGCATCCTGGTCTGGAATGGGCCCTTGAAGATTACAGCCACAGGTATCGATAAAATGATATATCATAAATGGTCCCTGTTATAGTTTTTCTGGGAAAACTCAGCAACCTTATTTTAACTCTATTTCTTTCCAGAATGGAAATCTCACAGTCTCCATTTTTCCTTTTGGGTGAAAGGTTTTTCTGGCTAAGAGCTTACATTGTTCATAATTGGCTTCCTGGAAATTTTGAGATTCATCTTATATAATTAACATCACTAAGAAAATAGCTGGAGTTTCTTTTACAAGTTTGAAGACCAGAGAAGCAGAGCTCAAAGGAGACTTACATAGGAAGGTACAAAATAAAACCAAAAAAGCATAAAGCCTCGGGTTCTCCTTACTTTGCAATTGGCAAACCCGAAAGGAATTTTAAAAAAATAGATGCTCCAAGAAAGTTAATGGAACCTAAAGATTAAAGCAACACCATATAATCTAAGATATTGAAAAAGGTAGCCAATATTATAGCTACTCTGTAATAGAAACTAGAAAATCAATAACTTTTAGACTTACACAAGCATGAGAGGGAAGATTTACTAAGCATACATACTATTTGACTAGTGCAATTCATAGATTGTGTTCTTCTGATGAGTTCTGAAAATCATTAAATTGTCTTTTTGCTATTTTCTGTATTTATTATGGCTGTTAAAAACTGTATATTTTATTCCATTCTGTTTCCCATGATAATCCTGTGAAATTTCTTCTTCTTTTTTGCAGCAATGCCAGTGTCATCTCCATTATCCTTTTTAATGCAATCTGCTAAAAAAAAAATAAGGCAACAGAAGAGTGTAGCCAACTCTATCATAGGGAAGCTACCTATGTTGTACTACCTCTGATTTTTAGTTTTTGAAATCACTTCTTTTCCTCAGAATAGTATCATGAACTACATTAAGAATCACAGTATGCTAAACCAGCACTGGTAGGGCTTTCTTTGAAGAACATACTGGTGTAGTTAGTTTTGTTCATTTATCTAAATTGTCTTGATCCTGAATCCAAAATGAATTTGATGATGTACAGAAATCTCTGACCCTGCTGGGAGGTGGTAACACACACCTTTAATCCCAGTACTCGGCAGACAGAAGCAGGTAGATCTCTGTGAGTTCAAGGCCAGCCTGGTCTACAGAGTGAGTTCCAAGACAGGCCCCAAATCTATAGAAAAACCCTGTCTTGAAAAACAACAAGGACAACAACAACAATAAAGAAATATCTGACCTTGCCCAGAAGTCAAGAAAAAAAGGGAGATCATGGATTTGAAGGACAGTGGGGGTGTATGTATAGGTTTGGAGGGAGGAAAAGAAAGGGAGAAATGTTACAATTAAATTATATCTCAAAAATTAAGAAAGTGCCTTCAAACATTTATAGAACCAAAAAATATGGGAAAAATTTTAGAACTATCATATGACCCAGAAAAAACAGTATTTGACATTCACCCATTCTATCCTGCCACAGAGTCATTTACAAAACCATGTTTATTGCTGTAGTATTCACAACAACAATGGAATGTCACCCAGCCTAGATGTTTACCTATAGGAAAATGGATAATAAAAATGTCACCTATATGCATATGTATTCAGTTTCCTCAGCTATTATGAAGACAAAGTCAGGAAACTTTCAGGAGCATAGGAAGAACTTGAAAGTATATTAAGTGAGGTGACCCCAACTCAGAAAAACAAAACTCACATTTCTCTCTTACCTCTCAGTGTTTGTATGTATGCAGATAAGGGATTGGATTGTAAGAGTGGGTATGGACTATGAAACCATAAAGAGGGGAGCAAAATGTACTGAAAAAGGGATGAGGGGTACCAAAGGTTGCATGTGACACCAAAGTGGAAGAGCAGGGACAAGACAGATGAGGAAGAAGTGGGGAAGAGAAATAATAACCAAAAATTTTGTTTGACAAAGGTCATTTATTATGAAACCTAACTTTTTATAAGCTAATAAAAAACCATAAGCATTTTAAAGAAAAAGATGCACAGAAAGGATAGACACACAGCTAATTAACAGGGAGAGATCAGTGTCAGATGCCCTGGGAGTTTAGACGACTGAACCCCAACTCTGATTTCATGGGAAATGGGGGAACCATGAGGCCGGGAGGTGGCTGAAGGAAAGTCTTGATGAGAGAGGGAGGAATCTTGTGTTCAGTGGAACTGAAATTTTGGGTTGTGGAGGAAGATTCCATGACAGGTGGTCAACCATGTTCCATGAGCATCTTACTTTGGAAACCAGTGGAGAAGCACTGGATGTTTCAATGTGAGGGATGAGAGTGTTGAACTCTGAGCAATTTCAGTTGTGAATGAGGAAACTATAGCCAATAGGGCTCATTAGACATGGGAGTAGCAGAGTCTAAAAGAAAGGAGAAATTATATAGGTGGAAGGGACAGGCATTTCTGAGATGGATAAAACAAGTCTTAATGCTTTGCAACTCTTCCCCCTCCTGGGAACCTGTGACCTGTGCTATCCTGCAAGTCATTATGTTGCCTAGGTGACCAGCATCAGTGGGATTTGGATGTGTGAGGATAGAGGAAGGGCTGGAAGGGAGCCAGGGAAGTTGAGCAAGGAAGGTTGTCCCCTTGCCTTTCAAGTCAAACATGGAAAGTTCTCTGCAAGGAAGAAGTGCTTTTGGGTGTGGGGCCTTCTAAGCACAAAAACTCTTTGTATTAAAGGGCAAACTAAATTTGATCAAATTTAATGCCTGTTCTTTGAAATAAGAAATCAGAACTTATCTCTGTTATCCCAATGATATAATGGAAGAGAGAGATTTATAATTCATGTGTCTGAACAAAAACAAAATATATGAGAAATGTGTTTTTGCTGTGAAGTCTCAAGAAGTGTTTAACGCTAAACAACAACAAAATATGTTGAGGTTTTTGTGCTGCCTAGATTTTTGTCAACTTGATACTAGCTAGAGTTATTTAGGAGGAGGGACATTCAATTGAGAAAATACCTCCATAAGATCAGATTGTAAGCAAGTCTGTAGAGGTATTTTATTGATTAATGATTGATATGGGAGGGCCCAGATTACTGGGAATGGTACCACCTATGGTGTAGTGGTCCTAGGTGCTATAATAAAACAGATCAGGCCTTGGGGAGCAAACCAGTAAGCAGAACCCCTCTGTTGTGTCTGCATCAGTTCCTTGGATGTTGGACTATATGCTGTAAGATGAAATAGACTCTTTCTTTCCCAGGTTGTTTTTGGTCATACTGTTTTATCACAGTAACAGAAACTCCAAGTAATACAATATTCTTAACAATTTAGAAAACATTTGGCTATTCCTTTATTGTGCATATTTCTCAATCATATCCCCTGCTCACACACACATATAAGTCGTAGATCCCTGATGCTTCAAACAATTTGCTTGGCAGGTCCTTCAAATCTCCCTCCCTGTCTTTTACTTTCAATGAGTTCTCCTTGAATACCTACTCCTGACTCCTCTGTGTCTTTCATATTCCTGGTTTGTCACCATTTTCAGGACAACGGCATATGTTTCTTTCTGCCTTTATTTATTCATTATGCAGCATAATTTGACAAGAGTATCATTTCTATTTGAGAGATTCCCTGGTTGTTCAGGCTGAAAACACAGCCTTTATCTAGGAGATGTCTCTGGCCTGCTGTCAACGTCCAGCTTCCCACTGTAGCCCACTCAGCCATGAGCACATGCTAACTTCCTTCAAAATTAAAATATGTCCTATTTTATAGTTAATCATTGTGCCACCCTCACTCGACATTCTTTCGATATGTAGCATAAAATTGCAAACAATTGTACCCGTCTAACTTACATGGCTAAAATATTTTCACATGTTAACTAATTCAATACTATAGTCATTATTTCAGTGTGCTATCTGTTGACATTGGCTCTAATCCCATTGCATCTTATATTACCCTCACTTCCCTCCTTAAATATCTGCCAATCTGACTTTAGCTTTATTTTGCATTTCCATTTTGTACCATGGTAAAAGGGATCCTGCTAAATGAACATTTTCAAACTGTGCATTTGGACACATTCAAAATAATGGTAACAGATGTATATAACATCAAATTAATGAATGTAATCAGACATATGTATATATGTGTAAATGATTTACAACATTCATATGTACAGTGCAGCTTTCATTTATCCTATTTCCCTCAATTATATCCTAGTATTTTTATAGAAATATATTTGCTTTGTTTGAGCAGATCCTATCTTGATACAGTATCAAGTGTCACTCCCACCCTATTTGTAGAATGGAGGAGGTAAGAATGATTATTTTCCAAAAATTTACAGAATTGGAGCTCTTATTCTTGGCATGTCAATTATTGCCAAGTTTGAAAAGATCATCTAAGAGGCTGAATTGGATTAACGGATACATTCATAAATTGGGTAGATTCCCATAGTCTGCCATGCGCAGAGTGCTTTAAATGCAGTGAGATCTTTGTTTTAAAGAGGAATATTCATGTCTGTTCTAAACATCTTCCCTGAAGGCTCTCATTAAAATGTACAGCATCTGCTTCGATAAACTACTTGGTTTCTTTTTATTTCATCACATCCACCACTCAGATGAAATAAAAGCAAACCTAAAATGTAAGTTACTTAGGTGAGTGATCAGATCTTCAATTTTAAAGGAAAAGACAATGTTTGTGTGTTCAAAGTAATATTTTAACCCAAATTTTTGAACTCAGGTTCCAGCTTTGGCCTTGAGCAGCTGTGTGACCTTGGGCCATCAGTCCCCTTCTTTGGGCCTTACACTCTTATCTAATAGATGGGTGACCTTTAATCCCTTCTGCCTCAAGCCTTTGAATTTGTAAAGATCGTGTATCTTGCTGACATTAAACCTGCATCACCATACAAGATCAAAGCATAAAATCTTATGTGCACATAAAGGATGGGTAACACATGTAAAGATACATGATCCCACAGCACCAAAGCCTAAGGGGAGCTCTTGATCTCAGTGCTATCTCTGAATTCTGTAAAATTGTAGGAAAAATAGGAGTATTCCCATTTGACCACACAGGCATCAATAACACTAAACGAGTCAAGGACTCTGGGGCACAGTTGGCATACTCTGCAGTCACTAGGTATCATGTCTAGAGCACTTGAAGGCAACCTCTATTGATAATGGCACCCAGATACCAAGAAAGAAACCCTCAGAATATTTGTAACACTAAAGAGTCAATTCAAATTTTCTGCATAGTTTCCATGAAAACAGGTATAATCTTTGCATTGGAGGGAACCCTGAGTCATTATTCCAAAACCACCTTGACGAACAGAAATAAAAAAGAAAGATATCAGGTACTTATTAAAACTAAAATATGACTAACATAGTTTTCACCAGGTGGTAGAAACTATTCTCAGTATTTTGAGTAAATATCTGAATTTATTTAAACTTTTATGAAAGCTTTATAGAGACATTCTATTACTGCACATTTTATAGATGAGGAAACTGAGGCCAAAGGGTAAAAAATATTGTTATACTCCTTTTATGTATAAGGACACTGAAGTTCAGAGAGGTCCAATGACTTGCCCAAGTTACATAGCTAGCAAGCAGCAGAGCCAGGATGTAGACTGGCCCATTGTATTCTTGAGTGTCAGGACACATTCTGTTTCTACACACGGATTATAAAAACAGAGGCTTCTTTATTCATTCAGCAAGGCTACCATTTAACATTACTGACAGGGAATATTAAATTTCATAGGTAAAATAATTTTTAAGAAAAAAATTAAATTTGGCTAGTATATTTAGTTTGAAAGTTGAGATTCTTCTCTGCATTTTAGAGGGATCTTCATTCAAGATTAATGTTGCTTCTGCTGTTTGTCAACGGACCCTGAGTTTTCACCTGACAGAAATCACCCTGAGATGAGTTGCATGCATACATTTTAACAAACCCAAGTACAAAGGAGATAGCAGCTGCAATTTAATTTATGGAAAGTGTGTATGTGCTTACTTCCAAACAAATATCAGCCATTATCTGAAATTTCTTCATATAATCCCTTCTACTGACTCCTCAACCAAAATAGACTGTTCAGTAGAAGCAAAATTCTTTACATTGACCCCAAGGACCAAAAATCCATACAGGGTATTTAATGTATTTGTGTCTAAACTGTCAACTGTGTTGTTCCTGTGGCTTCCTTTTGGTGTTATTGATGGACAGACTATCTGCTGGGCATTAGCATTTCTCTTTGAAGATCGCCCAAAAAGGTAAAACTCAGTCTCCTGCAGCCATCAGTCATTCATGATGGATCTCTTGAAGGAGAAATCCCTTTCACTGCTCTTTAAAAGCCCACTCATCCCATAGGAATCTCTTAGCCCACTTTGGGCTCTGCTAGTATCTAGTAGCATCCTTTTAAGTGTTGGGGCTTCCCAGGTATTCCTCACCCACCTGAAGTTATATAGGATGCAACAGTGTCCCAATTAGCAGAAACGACTAAGGAACAAAAGATGTTATTAACCCCGGTACATTTTATTTAAATTTTACTTCAGAATAAAGTGCATAGGCCATGATTGTTATATTCCATAAGAGAAGTTTGAGAATCAGGATTTGGTTTAAAATACGTGGCTTCAGGCTGAAGAGAAAATGATGAGGGAATGTATTCAATGTGAAAACTATAAATTCATGCTCATTCATAATCTCCCTCCCTTCCTCCCAGTATATTTTCCAGATCAACATGTCAATTTCAAATCTGTGATACCAGCCATGCAACCTGAATCAATTAACCTGAAAATCTCCAAGAGCATGGACCTTGGTAAGTGACAGGGAAGTGCATCCAGGTCACTTTCCAGTCTCCTCCATCCATCTGTCTTCCCAAAAGTCCAGTTTTGTTCCTTCAACTTTGGAAGTTGGGAAAGGGCAGTGCTCACCCCATCCTTCCATTTCCTCTCACACATGTAATTCCACATAGTGCTCTCCCTCTGTAGATCAGAGAATAACTAATTCTGAAAAACTTGACTGCCACAAAATTTTTCAACTTACCTGCCTTTGCTTCTGGGTGATTTCAGCTTGTATATCTCATGTCTGATGGGCATATCTGTTGCTTGGCCTGGCAGGATAATGGGGTCAAATGATACTTCCCAATGGCCTCTTCAACAAAATATCCCTAAATCTATGACACTAGAGAGGTGAGGTGTCCCTCAGGTCTGTCACATTGAGGCTGTAGAGGCACCCTAAACAATTCTACTGATATTCTGAATACCATAGGACTTGTTGGCTTCAAGGGGAGATTCAGGACTCTGGCAACAATTTAGACCAGGACTTGGAGCTACAATACTTCCCAGACACTGAAGAGCTTTGTCACTATTATCTTGGATCTTAGGAACAGAGTATAGCATACACTCAGAGCAAAATATTCATTGCATCTTGAGAACTCAGGGGCCAACCCCTGCAATTGTGTTTTCTTGAGAAATATTATAGATTTCATTAATAGTAACAAGGAAACAGAATCATCAAAACTGCAAGCTCTACCCAATGATCTGATAAATGGTGCTTATCTGTTGTTGATTTACAGCAGCTCAGGAAAATGTTCAATCACAATGAAACAAGGGAAATTGGTCCCATTTTCTATAAACTAACTAAATTGTTGGGAAGCATTTGCTCTAATCACCTATGGTATGAGACAGAAAAGCTCAACCATGAGGCTGCCATGAGCACTGGTCATAAGGGGAGTTTTTTGAGAGCAAACCTGTGACAAACCAAAGGGCTAATGTATGACATCCGTGATTACTAAGACTTTAAGGAGTAATTCATTTTCATGAAGTGCTTGATAAACATTTCCTCTCTGTCTTCCCAGTTTCTCTATAAAGAAGATAAATGGATAAAAATGGCTCTTAATTTTGGGGAGAGAAATATATTGCTGTTTTTCTTCATTTAATTAAAAAGGGCTAGCATTATAATTCTAAAGTCTGTGCCAAAGATAAAAATAGTATATCATCCATTTTAAGAGAGAAAAATATCACCAAGTTTACAAAATTATTGAACCTGTCATGTCAAAAAAGTATTTCTATTATTTTATTTTTAAAATGTATTAATTCCTTGAGATTTTAATAGGATGTTTTTGATCATATTTACCCCTTCCCCAAACTTCTTCCAAATTCACCCCTTCTCTACCCACCCTACTTATTTTCATATACACAATACATAATACATAATACATACATACATACATGCATACATACATACATACATACATATGTATATCTCAAGTCCAAGTAGTGCTGTCCATATATTATTGAGGGTATGGCCTTCCACTGGAGGGCGATTGTCTTATCAAGGGCTACACTCCTAAAGAAATCTGACTCTCCCAATTTCAGTTTCTAATAGCCCCTCAGCTAGATGTGAATTACTTGCCTACCTCTTCTCTCCATGTTGGAATTCAGTCTGGCTCAAGTGTGCACAGGTCTTGTGCATGCCGTCCCTGTTAGTTCACAGCAGACACTGTGTCCCGGGAGTCCTCACTATCTCTGGCTCTTGCACTCTTTGAGCCCCCTCTTCTGCCATGATCCCTGAGTACTGGGCAGAGAGGGCATGGTACAGATGTCCCATTTAGGCCTGGAAATTCCATAGTTTCTCATTCTCTGTACTTTGCCCAGTTGTTGATCTCTGTGTTAATCACCATCTACTGCAAATAGAAGCTTCTCTGATAAGGGTCGAGACATGCATTGATCTATTACTGACACTTTATTTTTGAGAAAATTTTCTCTTTCAAATTGACATCTTATTTCTGAAATGTGTATGTGAGCATCCGCCCACTATATTTATTGTCCATGATGAATTTAAGAGAGTTTGGGAGTAGGCAGTATAGGCCCATCTTGGTCTTTCTCCCCAGAAAGAAAATGGAGTGAGCTTAATAAATGTGTTGTTTTTCACAGCAAGTAACCCCAGTGATACTCTAGTGTTGAGCATTTGGACGTGTTTCTTTTTTTATTAGAGGAGAAGAGTATTGTTGTGGTTTGAAGTGCCATTGAGATTTATGAGACTAATGCCCTTAGCAGGATAAAATACAACTTCAAAAGTTAAAAGCTAATAATAAGCCCTAGGGCTGGAAATGTAGTTTAGCTGGTAGAGTGCTTGCCTGGCATGAACAAGGCCCTGGATTTAATCCTCATAAATAAAACCTACAGTATTTAGGCAGAATACTCACATAATATTTATCTTAACCTGGAAAAAGCATTAGCTTCACAGAGTTAAAAATAATGTTCATATTTATTTATTGAGTGATGACTTCAGACTTGCTAGTTCTCTGTCAAAAAGTTTCCATGACCTAAGTGTGGTGGTAGATGCTTACAGATGCTTATAATTCTAGCCACTTTGGTGGATGGCAAGTGGAGCTGGATTTCAGGCCAGCCTGGGCTATGTAGCTGGCACTGTCTTTTGAAAAGTCTGTAGGAATCTTAGAAGGGCCCAGGATACCATCCATACCATTTCTGTATCATGCTTGCTACTGAGTCAAGCAATATCCTTAACCTGTACATTGAATCATTTCACATGTTCTGATTAATTTTAGATTTCAATTACTGTTTTCACATATATTTCCAAAGAAGAGCAGTTCTTATGAAACTTCAGCTGCTACATCCCCATCCCTTTTCCCTAGTCACCAAGCACACACAGGGCTTAATCATAAATGAACTTTACTATCATACCGTCCACTTGCTCAACCATCCAAGTACATGTTCATACCACATTCATTTTGGAGTCACTGCATAATTATGTAATACTGAATGAATTGGAGTCATTGCATAGCTACTTAGTACTGAATGAATGAGTCTCTTCATTTAAACTTTGCTTTTTTCTTTCCTATTTAATTGGACCTTGAGCTTAATTGAAAGTTTTATTTTGTGAGTTTGGTATTTTTTAGCCCTTTGTATCTTCTTCTCTTAAATTTATTTATCTTTGCTAGTATTCCATTTGTCACTTTTTGCTATTTTTAGAATACTGCTATAATCTTGTAAATCATTGCTTGCGTTTTCACTTTGATCTTGACATCTTTTACCATAAAACACATTTTGATGGGACTGACCTGAGTGCTCAGCTGATAGGTTACTGTGAAACCATGAGGTCCTGACTGTAGATAGTGTCTATCTAAAAAGCATAGATGTCAGTCACTTTGTAATGCCAGAATTGGGGAAGCACACAGGAAGACCTCTGGGGGCTCACTGGTCAACCAGTGGAGTCAATCAGTGACCTCTAGGAACAGTGAAAGACACTGTCTCAAATCGAAGTGATTGAGACTGATTCTGAGGTCCACCTCTTCCGTAAAATAAAAAAAAAATATTATATTTGACTTTTCCATCTTTCCATAATTTGGCATGCAACCTCATTAGATACTGAATTCCTTTATATTAGTACGTGGGTGGGTTTATAGACATGCTGGTTTATTGATAGATAAATCTGTCCTGCAGTAGTTGCTACCCTATGTACATTATGCTGTTAGTATGAATTTTAGCTATTTACAGGTTCTTCTCTTCTGATTTATCTTTTTAAGTAGAAAATAAGAGTTTTTTCAAAGTTAAATTACTTTGGCTCTTCAAATACATTGACTGTCCCAGTGATTAGAATCAGATAATCAAAGTGAGTTTAAAGATACAATAGGAAGGTTTCTTCACTGTACATGTGTGAGTGCAGACATGTGTGCTTGTATACTTGTGTGTGTGCTTGTGAGCATTTGTATGTGTTTGTGTGTGTGTGCATGTGTGCTTGTGCATGTGTTTGTGTTCTTGCATGTGTGCATGTGTGTATATGTGTGCGTATAATGGTATATATGCTTCCTGCAGGACACTTTATCAGGTCAAATAGGCTTCTTTGTAGCCCAAGCCTTCTAAACTTTTTTCATTAGTCCCTTTATTCTTTAAGTCAGGAATGGGTATTGGATTTTATTAAGTGATTTGTAAGGATCTATACAAGGTGACGGTATATATTTTTCTTTGTTAATAAACTAGAAGGAAGTTAATTACTAGCTTGTACACAATTAATCTCTGCTTCTTTTTGAATGACTGTTTTCTCTGAACTTGTAAAGTTCATCTGTTTAACTACAGTTTTATATGTGAACCTGCTGCAGAAGGGTTTCAATTTCTCCACCCTCTAAAGCATAGCGAAAAACTGACAGCAATTTTACTTGTTATTCTTAATTCTTATGTAACCACTCTAGATTTGGGGAATCAATTTTGCTTCAATATTTAGTAGATAATTTTGGAGTTTGCATGTGGTCATGTTTAAGACAGATCAATGATGATTAAAATAATAAGGACAAGAAATTTATTTTTAAGCAATTGGCTATAACTATGCTTTTTCAAGGGCTAGGGTACAATTTAAGTGACTGGGTAGATACTTCTGGGTTTTCCAGAAAAATCAATCTTTCCCTACTAATTGCAGACTTTACTCTATTTATTTAAATTACCAGAATTACTGTGTTCAGTCTGGATCCCTTTAATTTGTTCATAATTGAGCTTGTGTGGGTGCTGAGTTGGAAGCCCTCAGAAGCTGAATAACACAGCTGCCTCTTTGGCCTTTGGCATAGGGTTTCCCCCCAAGAGCTGCCCTTATTGGCAGGATGCCAGGGAGTTACATTCAAAGACTTTTTGATGAGGCATAAAAATCTTTAATTTCCAGGCTTGGTGTTTTATGACCCCATAATAGTGTTTAAGAATTAGTCTCAATTATTTAAGGGACAGCACTTCAAGATTTTGGCCCCTTTGTTGACCTAATCTGTAGCCCCATTCAAAGTCAAGTTTAAAACACTGTTTCTCACACAAT